GGAACATCCAGTCCAATGTATCCAGATATTAAAGACTGTTGACGGATATAGAGGAAGCATCAAAAAGAGGTCAGCTAAAATTTGATGTTGGCAGAAATTATTGTCTGCAGAAGTATGAATAATCTTCTAACACTGCTTTAAAACCTTAGCTCTGTCTTAACACTTACTGTTTATTTAGTCCTGAGAAAATACTTAAAAGTCATGAAGCAATTTTAAGAAAACATTCGCAAACAACTATTTTCTCTTGACAGACTATTTGGCTACAATTACAGATATTACGCCAAGATAACATATGCAATTCAATGAATCCAGACAATATTGAATTAAATCAACTAGTATTATTTTCCATCTCTCTGAAACTGAACATTCAAGCCATCTGAACTTTCAATGTCATTTGGCACTTCAGAAAAAACTTTATAAAATACAATCAGGCCTGAAAACCTTTACTTAATTTCTGAGGAACTGTCTGACCTTTCATAAAAGGATCTCACAAACTAGATCTTCAAGAACATTATATAAGTCATAAATGTTTTTAATTAACATTGTTAAAGACACGCTTATATAAAAGTCTTATGTAAATTCCTGCACATTTCTGTCATTTTCAAAAGTCCCACATTTTGTAAGAGGAGATGATTTGCCTTAACCCAAGTTCTGCCGAAAATGATTCCATACATAACATCTGTTCAAAGTTTCAGGCTTTAAAAAAGGATTAAATATGATTTTAGGAGACGGTTAAAGAGAGGTATATAAAGATGAGGGCTTTTTTTTTTTTTAAAAAAAAAGGCATGACCAATCTTCATTTTTATGACTACAGTTCATTTTCTGTTGCTCGTTCCCATATTCTGACTCTATCTTTCCAAAAATGCCCATCTTTGTTCCCCAAAGAAATACAGCATAAACCTCTAGTAATGTTTCAGCAGGTGCTGACTGAAACTAGGATTCATAACAGCTGAGGCAAGACAAATGATATACTTGATCAAGTAAACAGAATTAGAAAGAAGCAAATCAACTATTTTATTTCTCTTTGCTTTCCATCGTTACCCAGTTAACTAGATATGATAGTACTTGGGATTGCCGTGGCCACTTTGGTCAACAAGGGTTTGGTCTTCCACAGGGTAATTCCTCTGGCTGCCACGATAAGTGATCAAAGTGATCAAATGTGCTTCAGCACTAAGAAAATGTGTAATTAATTGAACTAATTTTAAGCATTTTGATAGACTAAGGCCAAAGTGTTTGCAGAAGCAAACTTTAAAGCATACTAGTGCTATTCTGAAGAACACGCATCAGTAAAGAATAATGAAGAATCTCACACACCTGCTTTATCTGTTGCAGAGACTGTCACAATGGACTAGAAATTCAATAATAGTTCCCAAGAAGGATGATCTTCTTGCAGGGGTGAAAAATGCATGTATTTTGTTCATCTATATTTAGCCTAAGTATATTTAGTACTTTTCCATCTTCATTAGTCCTTACTGAAATTTTTGTTCCTCTCTTCCTTTGATATCTTCAGGTAACACTCTATACTACGTATCAGGTAGCAAGCTGACCTTATCCAGCCACCATGCAGTCTCTCCCTCTTTGTGTTCTCACATCTATACTGTATTTTCTCTTACCATGTACAAACAATGAAATCATATGAAACCATCCTACTTAAAATTATTGTTGAGCCAAAGAAACACACTTCTCCAAAAATCAATGCTGAATCAAATGTATGTCTTTCTCTTGTTTAAAAAACAGCAACAACTGCAGTCCTTATTCTCCTAAGCATATTATTAATTATACATCTAAAGCATGTTCACAGTCTGTGTTTACTCTTGGGTGATTCCAAGGTTTATATGAATGAGAAAACAGTAATGTGGTCATTTACAAGTAAAATAATATTTTCACTGTCTTGGCACCTGAGCATAATGAAAGGAAAAAACAGTCAGCTTTTACCTGGGTTTCTGTTTAGAAGAGTCAGCTCAAGGGGTAAGAGTTATCACTCATGAAGAGCTAGACTGTGGGAAAAAAGGTAAAAGACTCAAAAGCCAGGGAGATGTATTGTCTAAACAATTTTTATTTTTTTGTTTGTTTTTTTGTGGAGGTTATATGTGTTTTTTTTTTTTTACTTAGCTCCCACAATCTCAGCAATGACTTAGAAACCATCATAGCAGCATCTACAAGCAAAAGAGATCAAATAGTTGAAATAATGACCATATAAGAGCAAGAAGGCAGCCAGAGGAATTTGAGCGTTGATCATCACTGGCAAAAATCCATTCACATGGTTCAGAAATTTTTGCCACCTATGGAAAGCAAAGGACTGATAACTGCTTGGATTATGCTGTCAGGGTGCAGACAGTGCTTTCTCTAAGAAGCAACTCTCCTGCAAAGATATCAGCAACATTTTGCTGAAGGTTATTTTTTTCCCACAATTCCTCATTTCCTATTCAGAAGAGTCGCTAGTAGTTCTTTGTATGTAATAACAGGTAACTCTTTCATGCTACCGCTTGTGATGCATATTAATGAGGGTTCTTGCCAAATTAAATTAGTTTTTTCAACATTTGAAAAGCAGTTAAACTTCTAATGACATTTCCCCCCTCTCTTCATCAACCTATTTTTGGAGCAAAATAATGTACTCAGGCCTGAAATAAAGACACTTGAGCTCAGGAATGGAAAACAGCCACAAGCCAAAATGTATTCGCAGGAGAGCTATAGGGCAATAAGGTTGTCATCTATGCACAAAAATACTTTCAAAGACGCAAACATGATGTTAAAATCTCCACCACTCCCTCCTGCATGTTAAAGTCACACACACTGCTTTGTGCTGCAGTTATGAGCAGGGAAAAAATGAAACAAGTCTATTTTTATGATTATTGCTAAGATTATATCATTAGGACGGTTCAGAAACAGGGACTAATGTTAACACTATAATCCTTAACAATCTTGGTATTCTTTATTACTCCTAGTATCAGAAATTAAAACTGTAAAAAGGCATTCTAATATTATAAATAGTAAGTCAAACCAGAGCTGCACGATAACACTAAGTACCAACTGTGCCATCTGTATCTGAAAATCTACCTGAACATCTATATTACACAGATGAAAAAAAAATAAAAATATATGCAGGTATATGATATATTGAAGTGCTTTACAGTCAAGCAACTACCGTTAGGTTGTCCATAAAAATAAAACATTTCAATGCAAATGGTCCATACTTGGCACACTTGCAAACAATTGAAAACCAATTCTTAAATTAGCAATAAATAAATATTTTAAAAGGCTAGTTGAACTAGCTTCTCACACATAATTTACTATATAACAGCATACAGTCATAACATATATAGCTTATAATGCCTATCAAGGTATCCGATACCTAGTAAACACAACACTAAAGGGAAATTAATATTTCATACATATTTGCCTGCCTTAAAAAAAAGTAGGACTTAAAAGCATTTGCAAGACTGGACAAAAAAAAATAAATCTAGGAATGTTTTTGTTTTTTCTCTAGCGTTGCACTGGATAAAATCAGTTAATCAGCCTCAAATATTTTCCTTTTCATAACCTAATAGCCTAATTTGCATAGATCTCATACAGCAATAAAAAAGAAAAGCATTTTTATAAAATTAGAAACTGACTGTGTAACCACAAAGCTCATTTCTGCAGCAAATACAGATTTTTTTTTTTTTAAAGTTGATAATATGTCAAGTGGAAAACATTCCTTTAAATGAAAATTTATTCCAGGCTAGGAATATTATGTACCAGGTTAACCTATTGCCGAAAACTGAAGTAAAACAAATTTTTGAAATTGCCAATGTGGCTTTTTTTTTTTTTTTTACTACAGCAAACTGAGTAATAAACATTCAAGACAGAGGAAAGTTTAAGAGGTCCACCACTGAATGTCCAACAAAAATGGGGTCAAACAGATACGTGGTCCAGCTAGACAAAATATCAAAGTATTTACAGTGATTTTAGGATATCTGCTTAGTAGGATTCAGGCAAAATGCAAGCCAGTTCTGCTACTAAAAACCAAGCAAAGGAAAAAAAAAATACCAGCAGGCATTTATTCTGTTTAATAATCTCAAACTTCTTCCTTTGGCAGTGAAAATAACCAGCATGTGTTAAAGATCTAGAATTGATTCTCCCTGAAGAACTAGCCTATAAATAAATCACTTCATATCTACTTTAAATGTTTATTTTCTTCAACCATACATTCATACATCCTGCGAACATTCACTCACCTGTATCTGAATCACGGCCATATCGGCATCATTTAATGGTTACACTGTTACGGCCTGAAATCTCATCGGAATGCCCATTCTCAACACAACCTAGGGACATCTTGATCTAACAAGCAATCACATCCTTATATTCTGTTCCCCGATAACAGGGATTCGGCCTCTACGCCCAGATTAATATGAGGATGGCAGACCATCTCTAGGTAAAAAGCAAGTATCACATGTTCTCTCACCCACCACTCTGACAAGCAGCACAACTGCTATTCTAGGCAGCTTCCCTGAATCCCCATCACCCGAAAAAGCTGGCGGAACTGGGCAGCAAGCCAGCTTCCTGCTGCCGTGCATCTCCCTTGCCGTTTAACGTAGCGACGTGGCGTCTCTGCTCTCATACTTAAAACATGCCTGTGTGTTCCACGTCAACCACCCAGATGAGGTAAGGACTGGTACAGACAGTAAGTCTGAACCTCCTTGGGATCATTTCCACTATTTTTCTGAGGCAGACTGCTAAACAAGCTATGATATTTTAAAAATATATGTGAAAATGCTGTTTTCATCTGCTGCGTATCTTCTGATGATATTAGCATCTGTTATCAGCACTCTCAAGTATCTCCACGTTACAATCATTTTAAGTAGAGTTGCAAACAAGGGCGTTTTTTCTGTGATCAGGATACATAAAGTATTTCTGAAATTACTTCGAGCAGTTTTGCGAACATCAGCTTCTACAGCTCAGGTAAGATTCGTTATCTTAACGGCAAAAAAGAACCTATAAACACAGCGCAGGATTACCTTCCCTTAGACGCTCAACCACAAAAGTGAATCCAGTAGTTCGCGGATGTAAGACGTACTCATATTTCTGAAGTCCATTCTTTTCAGCGAATTCGTTACTGCGGGCTTTGGTATTGGCTGAAGGAGAGAACAAAAAGTCCCGTTTTCTATTAGTGTGCATGTAGACCAAGAATTACAGATAATTATCACATGACAGGAACGGTACAACAGTGGTTCACACGGTACAAATGTGCAACAGCTTTTCGGATGGAGGCAGACTGCGAGTGTGCTTTCGGTCGGCTGTAGTATGGTATGAGGAAGAGCATTGTGGATTGCAAGAAAAGCCTTTTTACCCTCTCATTTCATTTTAGAAAATGATCAGTAAATCTTTCATATTTATCAAATGCAATCTGAAATCTCTAAATTAAAGTTTGCTAATAGTTCTCTGTAGAATTCAATATGCATTTTACAGCAAAACGTGTTAATTGGTTCAATTTATTTTATTTTACTTTTTAACTCAAAAGGCACAAAGTATAGTAATGTAGGTTTGATATTACATACAGAACCTTCAGGTGAATGTTTAACCACATTAAACTTCTTTTGGAAAAAAAACATTAAATGGAGAAAAACAGTTAATCAAATACATTAAAATGGTATTTTACATAGAATCACAGAATCATAGGATGGTTAGGGTTGGAAGGGACCTCAAAGATCATCTAGTTCCAACCCCTCTGCCATGGGCAGGGAAACCCTCCACTACATCAGGTTGCCCAAAGCCTCATCCAACCTGGCCTTGAACACTTCCAGGGATGGGGCATCTACAACTTCTCTGGGCAATCTGTTCCAGGGCCTCACCACCCTCTGAGTGAAAAATTTCTTCCTTATATCCAATCTAAATCTCCCCTCTTTCGGTTTAAATCCATTGCCCCTTGTCCTATCACTACATGCCCTTGTATCTTCACTCTGAACTTGACATGTTTTACTCATCAACCTGTGCTGCACATAGATGCCCTGTTTTAATTTTTTGACCAACCGCCTCAGTGTCGCAACACATGCTTGCTACCGTATGCAGAGTACGCGCAAGGCACCTGGACAGCAGCGTGGCTGAACCTCATGACAAACTTTCAAACCTCTGGCAAAAAAGTCTCTCACAAGCAAACCGAACAAAGTTTTTTTTCTGGAGCTGGTCACTAACAGAGCCCACTAAGAAAGGAAGACGTGGGCACTAAAGTGAAAACTTCTGAAGGCAAGCGGAGAGCAGGCAATTTGTTCTTTGGTGATGTGCAGGAGGCTCCTCCAAACAGTCTCAGTTAGCAGCCAAACAGACTTTGCTGGCTACGCTTACTCCTTCGTTGCAGATTCTGCTGTGCCTTGTCTGGGACCAAAAGGCAATGGACACATACAGTGTTCCCTTGGCAACATTGAAAAAAAAATAATCAATTTCATCAGCTAACTTATTAAATAACTCATATGTATATTGTCTTACAGGTGCTTTAAAAGACAAAATCTCAGCAACAGATCTGTGGAACAAAATAATCGTTGCCTAAGCAATATATTATCTTTTTCAAGCAGAAACAGCTCTTTAAGTGTCCACAGTTAACCTTAACAGAGATGAGAGATAAATTAATGAAAAACATAGGGCTGCTTAATAATCTAACAGAATTCATACTCACAGGTAAGTCCTTTCACTTATAATCATCATAATTTTTCTGGTAAAGGAACAACAGCACAAGTGGACAAATCAACAGTAATGCGAGATGTCCTTTTTGCAGTAATGCAACTTTCTTGCACCTTTTTTCCCCTAAATTACATGAGTCCTTTATTTATCAACAAATGTGGGTGTCTCTCCCACAGGACCATCTACCTATTAATAAATGCTGTGGCCTATCAGTATACTGAGTATTTTTCCCCTGTGACTTACTGTTTCCATGTGTAAGACCACTCCTTTTAATACATGAAACCCTTAAGGTTTAGTGCACAGATTTCCTGACCACGTGACTTGGAGGAAAGGAAAACTCTTGCACAGTAGCCAAGCAAGTGATTCAGCAAAGAGGATCCAAAGATTTACTTCTTGCCAAATTGCAGCCAAAATGTACAAATACTTAAAAATATTACATCTTCAAAAAGCGTTGCTAAAATTACAGAATGTGTGAAATACTAAAATTACACTTGGCTATGTAACTTAAATATATCTTTCCTTGGACACATGCATTATGTCTTTAACCACACGATTACAGAATCTATTTTTGTCTGCTCGACTACTACTCCACTCAATGTTGAAAACGGACTATTCTGAATCGTTGAAGGGAATTTGCTTTTAGGACCCCTATTTCTGGGACAGCAAACTTGCCAAGTCAGTCATGAGCAAGACTTGAATGGCAGAAAAGGCAAGAGTAATCTGGTAATTATTAAATGCTCCTCTGAAAAGCCAGATTCTACCTCTTAGACATAATTGTATTGCACTACTAGCTCAACAAGCTGTCCGTATGTCTGCTCCTAGCACTTTATTTCAGATGTAGCATGAAAACGATCTCCTTGGTGTTTGCAAAACACTCCTACTCGCACCGCAGGAAAACCAAGGAGTAAACGGGCAGTTTTGCTTTCTGAGCAAGACTTAATTGATGCTGCAAAAGAGGCTTGGGACTTCCACTGCCTGTTGCCTTGAAGTAATCATCTTCAAACCTCTTCTTAGTGCACCTCCCTGCACTTGGAAAGAATTCACTGTAAACATCTGCAAAACGTCTTCCAAATTTCCCTTTACTACAACGCCTTTCTAAGAACGCGTGAACAGCTGGACACTGGCACACCGGCCAACGCTATTCAGCTATTTCCTGAGATTTGTATCCCCGTCTTGCCTCTGGATTGTAAATTTTATGTAACAGAGATTGTTCTCCTCCCCTTTTGGATGACCACATTGCAATGGGATTTCAGAACCAGAATAACGCTCCCAGCTAATACAATGATCACTGTCATCTGGAAAAAAAATCATCTCCCTCTCCTTTTCCTAACAACTATCAAGCCACAGGTCTTTGTGCATTAAACAATGTTTATTATAGCAAGTCAGGAATGTCAAAGGGTTGTTGGTGCTATCCTGAAAGCAAGGGTAAGATATGCCTTTACTTTACCAAAAAATTAAGAATAATGCCCTTCCCTCCCCTCCTGCTGCTCTCAGTTTCTTACTTTGCTCTAACTTACGAACAGATACACCGACTGCCATCTTACCCAACGTAAGCACCTTGGTGCCTACTGCTGTTTGGGATCCCTGTGCAAAACACCTGTGCCTAAACCTTCTAGGGGAAATTCAGAGTAAGTCTCCTGCTCAGCATTGGATTAAAGGAAAGGCAGAAAATGCGATGTTTCCCACTATATGAAGCCTTGAGGTTAGAAAATTGATCCTGGAAATTAGGAACCCATTTTTATATCCTCTCCAACCTAAGGCAATTCACACAACAAACACCTCTTTAAAATCCCTTAATCAATAGATCAGGCTACACTGTCAGCACTGCAAAATTTACGCAGATGCCTCATCATTCTGCAGACCAGATTATAACACTCAAGTGAAAAATAAAAAAAAGTGAAAGATGTCTTTGTAATCCTGATAGTGAAAACACCTTCTTAAGAGGAGGAAACATACATTCTCTTCTTTGCTTCCAATCAATCAAGGCAAATTGCAGAAAGCAGCTCTTGAAGCTGGGACTAGAAATTAACTTAGTTGGGGTCTCCTTGATCCCAAAAGGTCACTCACATCATTTGGCTAAGGGTAATGCCTCCTCTTGCTTACTCTCTCTGAAAAATATAAGTAAGCATTGTTTTTTAGAAACAAATATTTTCCTTCTTACACTGTATTTAGTAGATCTATCCCCAAAGTTTTTGCTCATTGTTCCTATTAGGTGTATTTTGCATTTTAACTCTTTGGTTCTATTTGCTCCTTTAAAAAAAAAAAAAAACTAGAATAATCTATTTTTATGGAAAGCAGCCAGTTTATTAATAGAGGGTGATGTGAGACCTTTCCTGATCCAGAACTGCTTCTTGCTCTGTCTCCTCTGGTCTCACACTGACTTGTCTCTCCTCACCTGCCTCCTTCAGCTAATATGTGCTGCAGAGGGTATGTTCTGTGGGGTGGTGACAAGTACAAGAAGTCCAATTTATTTGAATCTTCAGACACTACTGCAGAGCAATTGTCAAACTACAGAAAAGAACAAGTATTTAAGGGTTCTGGCCATAACTTCTTTTTGGTTTTTTTTGGCTCCTGTGTTGCCTTTGGTACATCATTTGATTGCATTTTTTCCTATTTATCTTAAAATTATGTGGGAAAATCCCATTTATCAAGTTTTTAAATTACTGGAAAAGCTCAGAAAGTCAGCACTTTCTACAAGCACCACACTTCAGAATTTCATTTAAAGTAACTGCAGGAAGAAATTATGCTAATACATTTTCTTGATTTTCGAGTTACAGATTTTTAAATTAAAGTGCTTTCACCCCTGAAAACCAGAGGATAAAGTGAACAAATTCAATTTTTTTTTTCTGATGTCAAATTATATTTTTAATTTGTGAGCTCGTTTTGAATTAAAACAAAAACCTCTAGAATTTGACTTTGATGAAATCCATAATGCAGTAACAAGCTGCATTCATGTGAGTCTGAATAGTATTTGGAGCTAAAACTCCAAGACCTGTACCCAACAAAAAACTAAGACTGTGCTCTCCATGAAATATGCACACAGCATTAGCTCCTCTCAAACAAGCTCACATGCCTTTACAGATTCAACACTGTCCAGGTTGATGTGTTTTGCAGGACGTCACCCAAAAGAATTATAAACTTCCCTCATTGTCCTACTCCAAAGCTGATTCTGACAACTTTCACACAACTATTTCTGATCAACTCTCAGCTCCTTTTTTCCCCCCTAATGTTAGCACAGTGACATTCGAATATTAAGTAGTACCCTTTCCCTTTAATCTGACTTGTGATAAAAGCATGCATGTACTTCTATGCCTTCAAGTACTCTCAAATGATAATGGTGCCAGACAGTGAAAGAATAAAAGAGTACTCCAAAAACCTCTCTTTTTAAAAAAATAATAACAACAAAAATACAACTACATTTATCCACTAGAGATTTGCATAGAATGTCTAAAAGCTATATTGGCTCACAGTTAATATTTTAAGGAAATGTTAGGCAACTGTTTTTATTTGTGCTACTTTCAAACTATTACATGTTAAGACAACCTCTACCAGTGCTTTTGAACAGTATTTTTTTGCATTACCAAAGTACATCACATTTACCAGAAAAGAGAAAAATCCAGATGCAGTTCATTGTTACCTTCTAGGTGGAATTATCATGTGTGATCCACGTCGCAACATTCCCACCAAAATCTGGGCTCTAGCAAGCTTTCCTACTTGTTTTTTAGCTGTTCCTCAAGGAAAAAAGGTCTGTGCAATCACACTCTGTCCACCTTTCCCCCTTTAACTTTTGAAGCTATTGCCACCCGCAAACAAAGTTTGACAGAGACAAGAGATTCAAAGCTAATTAGGCCCCAGAAAAGTTTTAGAAAAATCAATGGCTGAGTAAGTGGGAGCCTCCAAGAGTAGAGACCTTAATTACAGGAAAAGCCTGGGCAGGTTCCACGGATATTTAGTGTGTCAGGGCTTTCAGCACAGCATGCAGCGGTCCGTCGGTTAACACAAGTATCAGTGAGGATGAGCCACAGCACACGATGTCTCTTGCAAAGCCAGCAGCAAGAGATAATGTTGAGGAAATGTCAACATGGAAGGAAACACACGTCAAAAGGAGAAGTTGGAGTGAAGAAAAGACCACTTATAGGGAGGCAGACACAAATCCATAGGAAATGAGGCTTTAACTGGCGCAGAGCAATACAGCAACTTTTTTTTCTTATTGCTTTCTGAAGAATTACTACAAAGGGTCTTGTAAGGAACACCAACAAAAACAAAAGAACAAGCAAAATGGTGGGACATATTCCAGCTTTCCAGAAGCACCAGACTTATGGTTGCTTTGTTTTCTTCAGGGCTTCAGAAAGTTTGGCTGTATAGTTATCTGCTGAGGACTTCTTTTTAGGCAATTACAGTAATATACCTTTGATGCACTTAGCTTTAACCTTGAAGTACTCCAGAGTGAAAAGATGACCAACCTATCAGAAATAAGTATATAATTATTACCTCAGACCCTATATATCCAGTCTGCAAATACATTGTTCAGGGTTCATGACATTACTATTTTTAAAATTTATTTATGTAAGATCCTCCACTGCAAAGTAATTCAATATGAAGTCAGGCAGTGACCCATGTATAAATACAGCCAGACTTTACATTTCTTTGAAATCTTTCATTCTCAAAATCTGAAAACATTATACAATTTCTTATAAAGAGGAGTAAATCTATCATTGTAACGCAGCCACTGAGAGGATAAAAAAAATGATAGTAGCACAGGGCTGCACAGCAATTCTGCTTTTCAGTAAAGTACATGTGAAAGGTTATTTTTCATTTTAAGCACTAGAAGAATTTGTTTTCAGAAGTAATTAGCAGTTTTAGTATTTGGTCAGAAAGCAAAAACCATTGCCTCTATTTTTGCAAAATGTTCCCTAGGATATTGAGCAACCATTCAGAACAAAACCGTGTTTTATTTCTTATTCTAAAAGATGAGGTTGCAATAGGTCCTCATATGTCATTAACAACAGTTTTCTGAAAATCATTTTTCACAATGTTACACAAATTACATTATTATGTTCTATCATTCTCACACGGCATAAACTTACAGCTTGGTCAGGATTAGCTTGTCAAGGGATTTTGCCCTGTCTCCTATAATATTTTGAAATAAATGAGTTAATGTTTCCTGCGAAGACAATTAGATAGGGATAGCTATTTACTTTCGCAGAAAAAGCCCCAGGGTTTTGCCTGTCTCTATACATCTTATTATGCACAAATAGAACATCAAGGTGGCATTTGTTACCGATGGAAAGTTAAAGAGTAGTAAACACCAGATAATTCAACACGTCAGAAGCCAGCACAGCTGCCCAAGGAAGCAATGCCCTATCGTCTTCCCTGTCCATCACTGCATCCTTCGCACCGCACTGCTTCCTCCCTGGGCTGGCTCAACAAACCAGGGGGAAACGATCACCACCCATCTGTGGTGGCTTAAACTGACTTCAGAAGAACAGTACAACTAGTGCAGATACCCATTTGACACTGCAAGGTGAAAAAAAGTACGTTACGCATGTATGAGGAAGGAAAACCAGAACAACAAAAATACCCTAAAAAAAGAAAAATCTGTCAAAAATCTGTGTTCGGAAATCCAACTAGAGAATTTTTTAATATTAAGTGAAGAATCTTATCTGTATTAATTTCTCAGTAGATTCTATCAACAACATATATTTGAATTTAGTCTGAGTCATTTATATCAGTTACAACAGCAGAGAGAAAGCCTCATGTTTCCTTAGGCAACTCCACGTTCAGGTGCGAGCATCCCCAGCACTGCCTTTGAGACTCCACAGCACAAGTGTTAAACACCATGGCTGTCTCAGTCCTCAACTAATTCTTCTTTTTTAAAACTCCAGTATTAAGCTTTCTCAGTTCTTTAAAATCTGTTGTCTCTGAGAAATACTAGGAGGGATTAGAAGGTATACATAATTTATGGAATAAATTGCAAACAATCCAATTCTTTCAATCATCTTGAGATGGAAACACCTGTTCACAGAGTGTGAGCGACCCAAGGAGGAGTCTCCTGACCCCAAGAATAAGATTAAGATTTCATCTTGCAATTCAGATCTAGGAGGAGACGGTTCTTCATGAATTCAAAGAAAAAAAAAATAAAGTGAGGTAATTTTCATCCTTCTTCCTAATTTTAGATACAAAATAACTTATTCAACAAGAGAGATCATGTGAAGCAGTCCAAGAACATATAATGAATTTATCCTCTTGCAGGAAAGCTGATCAAGTGATGACAATTCCCTACAGTGTGATAGCATCTGAATACTATACATACCCATTTTTAAGGGTATCAGGGATACAGAAGAAAAAAAAATACTAATATATGTTAGTTATTTTTATACTCTATCTAGTACTTACTGATCTGACATTGCAGTAAATTCTGATTTGAAAATATCTGCAAGGGAAAGTATAGTCATCTTTTAAACAAGCTAAAAGATAGAAGTTTAATTGTAATTGATTTTCTATTTAAAAATCATTTTTATCCAATCATGCAGCAGCCGTGAAGAACCACAGAACATTCATACAATGTTTTTTTTATTGGCAATTGAGTTGTCTTCAACAGTAGTTGGCAGCTTGCTACTGATGCCATAAGATACCTGTATTAACGTAGATATTTTATTAAGAATTAATGCTACAGGATCTAACTAGTTAAATTTACTCTTATGATAATGTCAACATTTGTTTTAGGGAGGTATTTTTCTTAGAGGCACATAAAGATTGTTTACACGGCCTAAGGACCAAGTATCACCATCTTCTCCTCTTAAAACATCAGGCAAGAAATCTAATCGAATCATTAGTCCTCCTCTTCAATCACTCTTCCATAGGTCTGAAGTGATCTTGCACTGTTTGCCCCAGTAACATGGAAAACTGGAACATGCAAGTGATTTATTCCAGGTCTTGAAACCTACTTTTGCTAATGCAATGTACATACAGTACTGACCAACACAAAGCCACTTCAACCACCAGATGCTTTGACACGATAAAGTTATTTCAGGAAGACTGGCAAAGCCTCTCAGTGGAACCACATCTGTGCCTCTCAAATGAATCAGCACATACCATCATTAACTATAATTTCTTCTGTCCATGAGAACCCAGTCTTGCTCCTGCCTTGAACTTTTTTTAACTATTTCCATAAACAACAAAGAATTTCCACATTGAACGCTCCCTGAGAAGACGACAAATGTAGCCTACCTGTGAGATCAGTTCCTTCCGGAAAGATGAGGAGTTGTAGCGGTTCATGAATGTCACAGAAATAATCCAGCATTTTTTCAAAGTGACTCTTGTCATCTTCCCACTTTCTCTGAATGAAAACAAAGGCAGCAACCTGCATCGCCCAGCCTAAAGTTAAGAAAAATACACCTTCAGTAACGTTTCACTCTGATACTTCCAGTGTCTGTTTGCCGAAAATATTTTATAAGCTCTGTTAGACACATTTTATTTGTGGCCCACCTGTCCTCACCTCTGATTAAGAGCACTTAGTTACCTTGTAAAAGAAGTTTTGGATAGGAAGCAAAAGAATGCATTATCCAAATAAATAAATCTAAATAAATTTGGAATGGCTATGGTTTTGTGAAACTCCAGTTACCAGAGTTAGAAAAGCTTTCCAGAAAGCACGAATAGGGTCAATGCTGTCATGAAGTGAAGTATTTAAAACCATGGCCCTCACTATAATATCCTTAATCACTGCAACACTGACTTGCTCAAGGGAAGGAGCTGCCCCTACGGACAAACATCTCAGCAATGCACTGCAGGATAAAAGAAAGCTGCAGTATATAGAGATAGTCACCCTTAGTAGTGCTTGTTAACCATGTGCATCGTGCAGAAAATAGCTATTGTTTTGAGGGCTTTATTACATACACCTTCTTAGAATTTTCATTACTGATTAAATACAAATTTGTTCTTTACATTTGATTACAGAAAAATTTGATGCATATCCATTTGTTCGTATTAATATACACAACAACTGTGAAGATTTACAACCTGACATCAAACTGACAATGTCATGTACTTAAATAAATGAAACTGCTGCTGAGCCTGCAGCTCAGGGGTCACACGCCGTTATCTCCAATAAACATTCTTGGCTTTTTTGGCATAATTTAGTATACAGTATATCATATCGTATTAGTAGTTCTGTCCACTAGTTCAGACAGCAGGACGAAAAAAATCAGGGCTCCAGTTCCACCACACACCCATGACGTTCCCTTCTTAAACAGGGCTCAGAGGAGCACGGCACTGCCTTACCACTGTACTTGACTGGCTTGTATCTCATCAGAAAATCTGCAAATAGATATTCCACATCAAAGAGAAAACATCACAGCTTCCCATTTCCCTCTTTGTTCGCCACAGTTCTCCAAGTCTGTTCTTCCTTTGCTGGTGACTTACAGCATGTTATTCTTGCACTTTATTTCAGCTCCTCTTTATGGGGATTCCTTTCTATTCTGTTCCTGGCAATATCTTACAAGGAACATATGCTAGAAAATAACTTACTAAAGTCACCAATTTCTAAATCGACTTCATAAGTCAGTGAGCCTGGATAAGGCATTAACCAAGCTGCATAATCTCTTCTGTATTGGTTAGGAACGTTAATTGTATTGCTAAAGATTTGTAACCTGTACCATGGGGCAGATACTTTTTAAATCATCTAAACAGATGGAGCATGCATACCTAACATGCCTTCCGCAATCTGGACCTAATGAGTCTCAGATATTCAGATAATGAATGATATCCAGATAGCTGAATACTGGAAGTGGTTATATGAATTAAGAAAAGAAATGTCCAGAATGCAGTCGCACCAAATCTTTTTCAAATCTGCAAGATGTACTTGTTAAAAACCCTCCGTAAACAAAACTAAACTTTGACCACAACGTTTTATGTGCATCTGTGCACATATCACATTCCCACATCTGCAGTGCCAAGAAGTATCAGTGCAGCTTTATTAATAGAGGCTATCCATGTTTAAACAAATCATTTGCAGGAAAAAAATAAAGGTCAATTTTAAAGTAAAGGAAAAATAACTTACATAATTTAACTATGCTTTCTTCTGGCATTTAACCATCTTCTGCTGCTACAATACATGTCACTACAATGGTGCAAAGCCAGTATTTTAAATTGAACTAATCAAGGCTTCGTTTTCACACTTGTCATTGTGTTCTATAAAGAGGACATCCTTTCATGCCAAATGCTGCCAAATACCAAATGGTGCCAAACACCAAATGGTGCCAAACCATTCGTTTCTTCTAGGAGACACATGGAGATGGTATGAAGCTGTGTCAGGGGAAGTTCAGATTGGACATTAGGAAAAGGTTCTTCACTGAGAGTACGTGGTCACCGGAACAGGCTCCCCAGGGAAGCAGTCATGGCATCAAGCCTGTCAGAGTTCAAGAAGCATTTGGGTGATGCTCTTAGTCGTATGGTTTACTTTTAGGTAGCCCTGTGAGGAGCAGGGAGTTGGACTCGATGATCCCTATGGGTCCCTTCCAACCTGAGATATTCTATGATTCTATGATACCCCAGTCGAAATCAAATTCATAAAAATGGATACAGCAAAGGAAAAAAGCAGAAACAGAGATGCCTTGTACCATATCATTTACAACTCTGAGGTTGTAGATGCCCCATGGCACAGAGCAGAAAAATACATGGAGATGAGGAAAGTTGTGCTGCGGTTTTGGTGTTTTCCAATTGTTCTTACTTCTAAGCTCAGAAGCTTTTCTATGTTTTACGTACCCTAGACACTACACCTGAATTAGTTTATGCAAAACCTGTACTGTGCTAAACCATTTTATTGTGTGGTATCACACATCAGGCCTAAATTATTCAGTCCTTGTGTTCTCATTGCAGCAGAGTCTGTAGGCAGAAAGAAGAGAAATGAGAAGCAAAATAAATGCTCACTTGGGAAACCTGCTGATACTTTCCCAGGTCAGCAGCTCCTTAGGAAGAGTGATTTTGGTTCGTAACAGGGAGGGAGCATGGAAAAAAACTCACTGCCAGATCCCGCTCTCTCTCTTCCCCACCTTTCTTCATGCAGCACAAGGCTTTAAATTATATGGAAATTTGCATATAAACTCTTCCTAGTGATCATTCTTTAACAGTGCTGTGAACATGAAATTACTAAGAAAGCTGCTGTTTGGGTAAGTCATATTTTACCTGACTAAACTGCCTCAAAGCTGAGGTTCTCATGCAGTAGTTTCCCATTCCTATCCTAAGTGGTGTTATATACAGGCTATGAAAAATTAAACAGAGGCAGTAATGTAATGACAGTAGGGTGTCGGGGAGGAGGAATAAAGAAAGAGAGGGAAGGGGGTTGGGAGGCATCCAGTTTTTAAGTAAACAACAGGTTTGATTTTCTAACCTTTCCAATAGATAACATCCAGTGTTCTGGAAGAACATTTCTATCTTTAAGTGTACATCTAATTAGATGAAATGGTCCTGACTGCTCAAATAAGAACAGATTATCTAACAGTCAGATGACCAATAGCAAAGGACCGAAGTTTTCCTCCCCACCCACCTCAGCACAGCACACCGCGCCAAACTATTTTACCATCTAGGAAAGTGGAAGAACCTTCTACATTTGCTCAGCTTTAAGGCCTCCAGGAAAAGGTTAAAAAAAAAAAAAGAATTACTGCCTTGAACCAACCCCCTGGTCCACGCAACGCACCGATGGGGAGGAATGCCTGCTGCTTACATGTCTCACCATCCCACCGGATTCAAGGGGGAGAGGAAACCCAGCACAGGCTCCCAGACACATATGCCTTTGAACAACGCAAAAGCTGCTCTCGCTTTGATTTCCGTTCCGTAGAACGTCTGCGTTGTGCTGCTGGAAAAACAATACGTAACAAGTCCGAGGCACAATGTGGGATCCAAATGGGAAGGCACAGAGAAACAAGAGGAATTCAGTAAAGCAAGGGGCAGAATGAAAGGTTTTGCTAATCAGCAAGATTTATGAATAAGCAGCAGAAGGAAGCACCTTCTCCTGAACAGCCTGCAGTGAGACACGCTGTTCAGTTAATTACCGTTAAGTTTAGGTCAACATACTGTTCAATAAAAGTAATTAGATTTTGCGCTTTTTGCACAGCATTTTTGGTTGTCTAAAAGCTCCTGGGCAAGAGGAATTTTCCCAGCAAAGGCAGCATTTACTTGATGGGGGAAAACTAGTTGCCTTTTGATTTGCAGATTTCTGAGAAATCATCAATTACAAAAACAGGGCAGAGAAACAGTGAAGCTCAAGAAGTCATAACAATGCAACTCCATTTCTTTGCTAAAAAAGTCTTCTGGTAGGAGCCAACATTTCGAATAACTAACATTGATTGGAAAAGTATACAAAAAAGCATCACACAGCACGGTTCTTGTTTAAAATTATAAAACGACAGTGCAAGAACCTACTGGGTAGAGTAGTCAGCCACACTGACCTTTAAATCAGCTATTCAGAGCTGAAAAAATAAAACAGGCAGCTTCAAATCTCAAGTAACACATACATGCTAATGATACGTATTCTATCAGGACATAATTCTACACAGAATAAAATTACACAAAAAGGAATGCCTGCTATTGAACTAGAGAAACGTGCTGCACATAAGCATTTCCTTACTGCTTTGGGGATAAAGCAAATTACAGCTTATGCAGGTTGAGAATTTGCAGCATTGTATTAAAAATGCCAGCTGTAAGCATAAAGCTTTTTAAATTCTAAGACCCTGCACTTCTCTTTTCCTCACCCCAAAATCCTTTAAAAGAAAGTAACACTTGAAGCTGAAATTTCTTAAGTGTGTTTTCATTGCAAAGGTAATTGGGAGTAAGTAGATGCTACGGATGAAGGTGGCAATGTACAAAAGAAATAGGAGAGTTGAGAAAAAAAAAACAATCTTTGGTTTTGTGTCACAATTTTATGTACCTTTCCATAAGTATCTCAGAAATGACGTACTTTCAAAAACCTCACCTCTGTGTAAGAGCAATATTATGGCTGATACTGAAAGCAAACACACACACACATCAAGAAAACGGTATCTATGTGTTTCTTATAGCAATGTAACTCAACAGCTAATAGTACTAAACTCCCCCACAAACAAATTCAACAAATGATTCAAAACTATAGAAACAAGTAGGAAAGTAGAAGGCCTAACTATGGGATTTCGTTATTATATTAATTGATCCTCCCTCTTTTCTTCCACTGCATTATTCGCTGTTTCTTCCTAGCATTATCTTGGTCAAAAATAAAAGCATCATTCAGTGCGCCTGTACTCAACAGGGGTCTGGTCCTGATCAGGGCTTTTGAGGCAACAGGGAACCAGACGTCTAGGCTTAATAAGGGAAATCACTCGGAAGCACATGATCCCACTGTATACAAA